GCTATTCAATTCAATGGTGGCTGATCTGACAATCCTCAACTCCACCTCCCTGCCTTTTCCCCATACACCCCTGATTCCCTTACTGATTCAAAATCTGTCTGTCTCAGCCTTGAATATACTTAACGACTCAACCTCTCCAGCCCTCTGCATTAAAGAATTCCAGTCTTGTATCCTCAGCAGTGGCACAATTTGTTGATATTCTTGAGTTCTCAGTGCATGGATGTCTCTCCAATCTGCTTTATCAATGGGTGCTAATTTTTGAGAGGCTGAGAAAAACGGAGAGAGAGGGAGAGCAAGTCAACCAGTTCTGCTACTACAAATCTATTTCCCTTTCCGTTCTGTTCACAAGCTGTTGCCTGGGGTACCATTCTTTTGTGTATTACTGTGTCCAGCTTCATTGCATTTTCTTAATCTGCATAACCTTCAGGTGATGTTCATCTTAATACCGTATGTGAAACTTCTAGAAAAGTATAGATCAGGCAGGAGGTAAAGATGACATGCTGATTTTAGTTCAGCCTGGGTGTTATTATTGATGATTTCATGAATTGGCTCCGCCAGTCACTAGATCACCGCAACACAGTGTGGAGCTGGAGGAACACAGCAGGCCGGGCAGCATCAGAGGAGCAGGGAAGTTGATGTTTCGGGTCAGGTCCTTTCTTCAGAAAAAAAACTTATCCTAGAAAAGTATGATTCCATGAGAATGATTAAGTCAAGCTGTTAGCTAACTAGTCTGTGGTATAGCTCTCCCAATCCTTGTATCTTCCAGATTGCAGTTGTTAGTAGAATTTTGCAGTTGCCAACTGTGATGTGTCATTGTGTCAGTATTTATGGGGGATCTCTACTGGTATGTTAGTGTTGACAGAGAATCCTTAAGAGTTTGCCACTATTTACAGGGTGTCCCTGGGAGTGTAATATTGTTTACACAAAGCTCCAGGAATACGTTAACATTTTGAGGGGAGTCAGAAGTATGTGTCAGTATCTACAAGGGGTTACTGGGAGTGTGCCAGCTCTTATAACCCCTGTTGTCAGGAAGGGGGTTTGTGGGTTTAACCAGTAACAGTGAAGGATTGATGATATGAAGGTGGATAAAGTCAGAAGTCACACGACACCAGGTTATGGTCCAACTGGTTTATTTGAAATCACAGGTGAAGTGAAGGATCGATGATTTGGCTCCAAGTTAGGACAGTGTGACTCGGAGGGCAACTTGTAGATGGTGATATTCCCATGAGTTACTTTTCTAGATGGGAGATTGAAAGAGACTTATTGTCATGCAAACTTTAGTCCCAGAGGACCATAGAGCTACTCTCTCATTAGAGAGAGGCAGCTGGTGGTGAGTTTAACCTGAGTGTCACTCCACCTCATATGAAGTTGAGAAGGCAGCATCTTCTTGGTAATCTCAGCTGGTAAGGGAATTGAATCCCTACTGTTGGTTTCACAAACCAGCCAACTGAGCTAACTGACTCCATATCTTTTGCTGCTGTGTGTTAGTGGTGAAGGGAGTGAACACTGAAGATAGGGGTGAGTATGTTTGAATTGGATGAATTACTTTGACTTGGAAGCTGTTGAGCTTTTTGGGTTTTGTTGAAGCTATCCCCATCCAGACAAGTTGATAATATTCTGTCACACTTCTGAATGTACCTTATGATGTACAGGCGTAGGGGAGAAAGGAAGTGAGTAACTCGCTGCAGAATTCCCAGCCTCTGCCCTGTTTTTCTAGCCACAGTATTTATACGGCTGCTCCAGTCCAGGTTCTGGTCAATAGCAACCAAAGCATGTTGATAGTAAGGCATTCAGCCCCTGGGTAAGGGGAAAACTTTCTCCTTATATATCCCATCCAAGTTCCCTCATAATAGTGTACACCTCAATCAGATCCCCTCTCAGCCTGCTTCCTCTAAGAAAAAGTCCCAGCCTACCTCGTGTCTCTTCATAGCTGAATTGCTGTAGCCCAGGAAACATCCTGGTGAATCTGCTCTACACCCTGTCTTGCACAATTAAATCCTTCCTACAGTGTGGTAACCAGAACTGTACACACTATTCCAGCCTAACGAATGTCATTTACAGCTCCATCATAACCTCCCACCTCTAGTACCCAATGGTGATTAAGAAAAGCAAGTATCCCAGATGCCTTCCTAATCATCTTATTTACCTTCAAGGATATATGGACAAGCACAACAAAGTCTCTCTAATCCCCTGTACTTCCTAGTGCCCTACTACTCGATGTGCATTCTGTTGCCTTGTCAGTCTGCCCAAAATGAATCACCTTAAAACTTGCTGGATTAAATTCCATTTGCCATTGTTCAGCCAATCTGATGAGCTCATCTTTATTGTCCTGCAGTTTAAAGCTTTCCTCCTCACTATTTACCATGCCACCAATTTTGTACCAATATCATATATCTCCCTACATTCATGTTTGCATCATTAGTCTACACTAGAAACAGCAAGGGACTCAAACCCCATGTTATGCCACTGGATATAAGGTTTCCGGTCACAAAAACACCCTTTGTCCATCATCCTCTGCTTCCTGCCACAAAACCAATTTCAGATCCAATTTCCCAAATTGCCCTGCATCCCATGGGCTTTTGGGAGACCTTGTCAAAAGCCTTACTGAAGTCCACATAGACTACATCAACAGCACTACCCTCATCTACACACCTAGTCACCTCCTAAAAAAAATTACATTTATCAGGTATGAACTCCCCTGACAAGGTCATGCTATCCTTGATTAGTTCTTGCCTTCCCAAGTGGAGATTAATTCTATCCTTAAGAATTTTTTCCAATTGATTCCCTATCACTGATGTTATGATGGAGGGAAGGCCATTGGTTGGGCCTAGAACACTGCTTTGAATTGGAGGGGTGGGAGGAAGACGACATAAATTTATAGGATTCCAAGGAATGTATATTCAGGGTGTCTCATTACCTTTAGGGACATCTCTGGATGTGCACTATCTATTGCCAGTATCTCTGCCAATAATTAATGGAGTTAACACTTAGAGGGATTTGTGGTATTTTGCTCGATGACCATTCTTGGCACTTTATGGTATTTGCCACCTCTATCTTAAGGTGCTTCTGGTTATGCAATTATTTGAGGCAGTTTGCTGTCACCAATCTTTATTTGGTTTTGCTTTGCCTTGGCCTTACCTACTGGTTATCTACTGGTTACACCACAATGGAATATCTGTAGAAGAACTATTCTTAGTTAATAAAAAAGTTTATTGCAAGATAGGAGTAAATAAAAATACATTTAGTTAGGTTTAATTAGTATGACCTTCAGGAGATGGTACAGATAAATCTGCTTTTTCTGAAAGCTAAAACAACAATAGAACAAGCTGGAGCCAAAGTAAATGAATATTAACCCCATCAGAACCATTACCTTGTGTAATATGGCCAAATGAACGAAAAGAAATGCAATCAATTCTCAATTCTGACATTCTCTCTGGAAACACCTCCATCTCTTCTCTTAAATCTGAACCTTTGTTGAGTCACCACTCCCAATGTATCCTGTTCTGGCCCACCCTACATTGTGTTTTTGTCACAATGTTCTTACGATGTGGAGGTGCTGGTATTAGACTGGGATGGACAATGTCAAAACTCATTGCACCTGATGAAGGGGCTGCACTCCAAAAGCTTGTGATTTCAAATAAACCTGTTGGACTATGACCTGGTGTTGTGTGATTTTTGACAATGTTCTTACAGTAGAGTCAGTTCTCACGTAAACAATTTACACAAGTTCTCAAAACTGGTCATACAAAAAAACTGGACAAATAGAACAGGTTGTTCATCTTTAATCAAAAGGAGATTGAAAACACAAGTGAGAAAACAATGGTTCAGGTTTACTGAGACTCCAACAAAGTTCTTGCATTTGGTTTTGGGCAGTGTACATCAGGAGGGATAAATTAGTCTCAAAGGGGAGTGGGTCTGGGAATGGGAGAGAGTGAACAGAGAGTGGATTGAGGAATGGGAGTGAATCCAGGAATGGGAGAGGATAGGGATCAGATACAGGAATGGGAGAGAGCAAGGAATGGGTTAGAAGTGGAGGGAGCAGGAAGTGGGTGCAGGAGTGAGGAGGGAGTGGGTGCAGGAATGGGAGTGAACAGGTATTGGGTATGGGAATGGGAGTGAACAGGTATTGGGTGTGGGAATGGGAGTGAGCAGGGAGTGGGTGCGGGAATGGGAGTGAACAGGTATTGGGTGTGGGAATAGGAGTGAACAGGTATTGGGTGCGAGAATGGGAGTGGGCAGGGAGTGCGTGTAGGAATGGCGGTGAGCAAGGAGTGGGTGTGAGAATGGGAGAGGGAGTGGGAATGACCAGGGAGAAAGGAGTGAGCAGGGAGTGGATGTGGGAATGGGAGTGAGTGGGGGGTGTGTGAATGGGAGTGAGCAGGGAGTGGGT